AAAACGCTACGAATTAATTCCAACACCTAATATAATCATACATCTTGTAAATAAAATTGAACACCGCAAAAAAAGCTTAGACCTGTTATTTTTAACTGAATTTATGATGATTCATTTTTTCTGTTTTTTTGTTGTTAAAAAAAAAGGAGAAAAGAACCAAGTCCAAATCAGCTAAAAAATAGACCTATATATCGATCACTCCACGTCAAATCGGGCACTTTTTAATAAAAAAAAATCGAAGATTCTGAATCTTAAAATTTTGCGGATTTCTAGACATTAAAAAATCAGACACGTGTTTTGCGAAAAAATTTTTTAATGTTTTTACGAAGTTATGCTTACCTTTAAGTTTCAAAAATTGACGAAAAACGTGGCTCGTGTGTATATTCAAATGATTGATTATCACGAAACGGTAAGTCGAACGAAAAGAATGTAAGAGATAAATTTTAAAGATTAATAGGCAGTTTAGTTTTAACGGCACGAGTCATTTGATGTGATATCGTAATTACATCGAGATACAACGAAGAATGTATAATATTTATTTTATAATTTTAAATATTTCATATAAACTAATGTGCTGATGAAAAGCAAAGATAGCAAATAAGTTATTTTACATAATTGCACGTGAAATGTTTTTGACATTCCAATAGTATATCTCAATTTTTATTACTCTTTGATGATTTAAAATTAAATAAAGATTAATAATAAGTTATACATCTTTTAAATAAATACAAACATTTTTTTTTAATTAAATAATGATTTGGACTAAATAGAATAATATATATAAATAGCATTTATATATATATTTAGAGATATATAATTTAAATATAATTATTTATTACTTTTTCCAGAGAATAAGAATGCAAAATAAGATGTGAATGACAGAATTAAATGATTCACATAAGTAACAAAAAGCCACAATACGTTAATCTTTTGTTAAAAATATTGCGTACATTGCACGGATTCCATGTAACAAAAAGTTGTTACAAACTATAAATAATCGCTAATTGTAATACAATTTAAAATATCTAATACATGGATGAATTGTGTGCGTGATGAATGTAAAAAGTAAAAAAATCGTGCAATATATAAAAAGCCTATTCATCGGAGAATATTAAAACGAGTAATGTAAAACGAGTAATGTAACGAATAGATTATTTTACGAATAGATTATTTTGCAAATAGGCATTAATATTTCGGCAGTTAGCTAGATGATCGGCGCGTGGCCTTGGGGATTGTTTTGGCAATGAAGGACGGGCGAGCGACGCGACGTGACGCGTCATGTTTGTGTAAAGTTACCACGCAGTCATTCTCTTATCGCAGCTCGTACAGGCGGGTAGTTGTTTACCGCGTGCCGCTCTTCTTCACATTTCTTTTTGAAATACATCGCGACAAATGTTACGTATAATATGAAACGTTATATTTTATGAATACTCACAGTATACGATTAATTATTCATAAAAGAATCGAGATAACAATCATATATCACGAAACAGATATTTCGTACGGTTCATTCATTTGAAATAAAACGCGATGAAAAGTAGAATTGTATTACAATTTCGCGATAATTACGGACGATAATTATTTTTGTTTAACGTAAAATTTTTCGCTTGCTTAAGTATATATAACTCTCGATTATGCATCAAACGGTATTATATGAATTATAAAAAAGCAACGTTACTCTCGTGCAAATAATATAATTCAAGCTATTCCTACTTTCAGAACTAATATAGTTTGTGTAATTAATAATTTAATTAATTTTTCGTTTTCATACATCTTTCGTTATACTGTATAAAAAATTAAGCGTACTTTGGAACTATTTGTAATAAAAGAAATATTTCTCTTTTTTATTTACTTCTAGCCCATTCCATCGACTTTAATCATATCTTATAGACATCGTATAAGAGATTCGGCCTTTTATTCGCTCTGAATTTATTTCGCAATGATGATGAATTGACACGTGTTTGATATACATTTCTAAAAGTTAACCGATAATACAGACAATAGCTGTATGTAATATTTTTCAATTTGATTCTTTCCTCTCATGGATACGACCTTGACGTAGTGAGAGAATTCAATCCGAAGGATATACACAAAAAGAACGGTTTTTTTAAATCTAAAAATTTTCGAATCTAAACGATATGTCTAGGTAAATTTTTAGATACTTGAGCAAAATCATTCTTTTCATGTAAAAATCCAACGAAGGGGAAGCTATCGTCGTCGATTTAATTGAAAGTGAACGAACCGCAGCCGGTTCATCGCGTCGCGCGTTTGCTTCGGGAGTGCCGTTCAAGTTATCGGACTAATGGACTTTTCACAAAGCCCATTCGATAGAATTTTACTTCGACGTGAAAGACTTTTCTAAACAATTAGTCCGCGTGTGATTGTAATGTATTATTCGCGAGTGTTTCACGTGAGTGTCCTGTGCGAGAGGATGTCAACCCAATTCTGAGAGGAGGAGGAGGTCTGGAAGAGGCATCGGGCATCGGCGGAGCAACCTTGCGGTAAATATCATTTTTTGCTTATGTAAAATCAGTATCTTTCAGCTGTTTATTCTTGAGTCGTTTTATTTTGTAATGATTTAAAAATGATAATTAGAGGAAAAGGATTATTTACAAATTTTATATACATTTATAATGCACTTTTAAGATCTTTTTTAGAAAATGTAATTATTTTTATAAACTAACTGAATGGTGAATTAAAAAATTCGATGCTTATATAAAAATTATATATTTTGAATATTATATAATTATTTTCAAGAGAACTGTATATTTAGTAAATATTTTTTAAAATATTGATTCATTTTTTCTGCTCTGTTTTAATTTGGATTTTAATTTATTTATTACAGAATCATCGTAGCGACGTTGCAGATATAACTCCGCTGTTGCGCATCGGATTGGTGAGTGATGAATTAATGTTTTTATTAAGGTAACGGATGTATGGTCATTTTATTAATATATTATAAATCTAGATTTATATGTGCATCAATTTAATAAAAATATTCGGATAAATGTATGTATAGCATTTCAAACATCCGTTGCCTTAAAATGGATAAGTTATAACAGATTGGGCTAAACTTAATCTTGGATACCTCTTAATTGTAGAATTTATTTTTTTATTGTGTATGCACTACTGTTAAATTTACAATATCACATTTGTTATACCCAGTTTGAGTTATTTTTAATCATTTTTATAAATTGCCACTACTTTTACTCAATAACTCGTTAATTTAACTAAAAACAATGGAGTAAAACTATTTAACTCAAGGAAATTATTAAAGGCTAAAATTTTGTTTACTTATTATAAATTCATACGTTAATGTGAACACTTTGATACTATAATTGTAAGTCATTCAAGTTCAATTTAATACTCTCTAAGTAATTCAATCTCAAAAGTATGATAAAAATAGATATTCAGCAACAAATTGTTCGAATCGTTAAAAATACGTGCATGGGCCTTGAATTTTGTCAGGTCCTGAATTTAATCGATTTAATAATTTTCAGTTTATTTTTAAATTAATAATTTAATTAATAATTTTATTGTTTGTGAAATTTATATTAAGACATTTTATGTAGTTTCACAATATTTGAAACTTTTGAAATTAAAATTTGAAGATTTTTAAAATTAAAATTTGTTTTTTTTGTCAAATATTTATATTTTTAATTTTGAATAAATGCGAATAGAGAATAAACGCGAAATTTATTTCTTCCTATATTAACGGAATTATTATTATTATTATTATTAATTGTTCATATTAATATTTGAGACCTAATTAATATTTTAGTTAATTTTCATTAATACGATGTCCTTTTTGCGACGCAAAACACTTCGTGTTACATATCATACAAAAGTGTAAAATTTTATGCTTATTGCTGACAATGTTAATCGGCAGCAAAAAGGAGTATTTCTCTTTGTTGTCGATTTCTGGCATATGAAGCCACAATATTGGCCAGTAGCAACGAAAGGTGAGTTCAATCTGGCCAGAAGAAAGAAGAGATCTATACGAAGTAATTTGATGTGTAACATCAATTTAAGTTTTTATAAAGTATATGTATAAAGATATAAAAATCTGTGACTATATTCGGGAGGGTAACTTGCTCGCAAATCGCAATTGCGAACTGCGAGTTCTTATTTTTTATTTAAAATACAAAAATTAATAAAAAAACAACAGAGCTAATGAGAGCCAGTGCAGATAATAAAAGCGCAAAGTATTTAGGTAGTTATTTTTTCTTTTTTTATCTACAAAATGCTCTTGATTATCCAAGACTGACTCTCGTTAATCCTGTTATTTGTTTTTTTTTGTATTTTAAAGATTGAAAGTCTATTTTAATTTTTATTATTTATTGCTTATTTATTTAATGTGATCGTGATTAGGTTGTTCCGCTGAATTTATCAGTACGCGATAGAATATGTTAGGCATTAGCTGCTACATTCAGCAGAGAAAGCAACTTTGCAACTGTTGTAAAATTCTTCAATATGATTGATTTATTCTATAAAGAACCAAAAGCCAGAATCGTATTAAAGAATTTTACAACATTTGCAAAGCTGCTTTCTCTGCTAAAAACGCAGTCATTAACGTATTATATTCGCGGTGTTATTACATTGATGAAATAAGTAGGTAGGAATATATGCTTAGAGATAGGATACGCGAATAAACACGAATAAATGAAAATATGAGTAGGTAGAACAAGTATGGATAGATAGAGATAAACACAATCATTTTAAATTAAAAAATTAAATTATTACAATAAAATTACACTTAAATAAATTTCGCGATTGGATAATTAAATTTTATTTAAAAAAAATAAGTATAATGAATATAAAAGATATTATATAATAAATTTAAATGAACTATGTGACATGTAGATAGGGATACATAGATATCATATGTATATACTTGATAATTGGAAAGAAGGGATTAAAAATTAAATAAAATTTTTAATTACTTTTAAATTTTATTTAATTATCCCGTTTCAATTATCAAATATGAAAATAAGCCAAATTAATTGTAAATTTTTTTAATTTAAATTAATTTTGAATTTTCATTAATTTTTCAGTTCCTCTGAAATTAAACTTTTTTTTGCAAATTGCAAAAATATATTTGGTAAAAACAGAGCAGCCTTTTTTTTCATCGAAGATAATATTAAAATTTGTATATTAATACAAATGTTTAGCAAAATGATTAGTGAAATAAAGTAAATAAATAAAATAACTAGAAATAAAAATATTGTATAAATGTAAAAAAATGAATATATAAACACCCGCAAAAAAGGGCCACTATAATTTATAGTAATCCGTTTATGCTGAAATTGCTGAAATAAATCTATCAAATTAATAGAGATTTCAATGATTTCAACGATTTATTTCCATCAGGAGCATTACAAAAGAATGGATGTCGTGTAGTTGATATCCACTTCTTCAGAGGACAGTAGTGCGCGGAGGCATTTTGCGGTCACAGGAAAAAGACCTTCGTGTCCTCTCTCAGATTTCTCTCTGAATGAAAGCAAATTCGAAAATAATCGATTTTCAAACGAGACGAGAAATCGAATTCTCGACTTAATTTGATTAATTGCTCGGCACGTTTTACACTTCTCGGCCGATTTTCGACTCGGCTCCGCCTTTCGCTACTCTTTTCACCTATCATCCGCATGCAATCCACTCGATGCTTAGGAGCGTATAACATTCGTAGACATGAGGTCCACCTGCTTTGGGTGCTCACGTTGTAAACTTCATTCTATCTTTTTTTTTTCGTTCACATACATAACTAAGATAGAATGAAGTAACGCGCATAAAATTGAGCGCTTACGCGCGTTGCTTCATTCTATCTTAGTTATATAATGAATGAAAAAAAGAGATAGAATGAATTTACAGAGTGAGCACCCAAAGCAGACGGACTTCATGTCTACGAGTGTTATACGCTCCTAAGCGGCATTTGGATTGCACGCGGGGTGATGAGGTGAGAAGAGTAGCGAAAGGCGGAGTCAAGTCGAAAATCGGTCGAAAAGTGCAAATCGTACCGAACTCTGGCATTAATCGATCAAACGTCATCCCATGTGATGGTCATCCCGTACTGCATCTCCGGTTTCTGTCGACTTGTTTACTCCTGACACTTCTGCGTGTTTAATTGTCAGTAACTGTCAATAAAGAAATGGCACTTGTGCATTCGCGGATGACGATTCCGGGATCACCGGGGGATAGTCGTGTTGCATGGACGAATTGACAGTAAACGACGCGTAAATATGGTGGCAATTAGCTTATGCTCCGAACAACGTGCCAACTCTCTGTCATCTCACTTTTGATTGTCGAGTATCCTGAGCGCGAAAAATGGACAAGTTAACTATCATCTCGGTGATACTCTTCTTTCTCGCGGATATCTCCGCCATAATCAGCATCTCCATGCCAGACTGGATCATTACTGACGTCGGCGGTAATTGCAGAAATGCAATCTTTTTTTTTCATTACCTTTACTCACCATGGCCTTGCACATCATTTATTTACGCCGATGAAATAAAGATTAAAGTCACTCTGAATCAATTCGAAGTTGAATTGCGAAATGTGAATTGTGAATTGCGAAAAAACCACATGATGTTTGAGAACATCATTTTAATTGTGTTTTCCTTCCTCTCTAATAGGTGATACAAGATTAGGTCTCATGTGGTCATGTATGACTTTGTACAACAGACCACAAGTCTGTTTTAAATCACAGCTGGAGTCAGAATGGATGATGGCACTGGTCTGCATATTTATTGGTTGCATTCTGATCACAGCAACCGTAATATTATTGATACTTTCGCATTGGGACCGTACCGTCATTCCATTTGCACGTTGGGTAGGATTCAGTGCCAGTACGTATCAGAAAAATACAATATTTAGCACAATAAAATATGGAAGTAATACATGTACGGAATAACCATAGTATTTATATAAAGTCATAAAATAATTAAATTATAAAAACACCGCTCTATAATATAGTTGGTTATATTTGAGAATCTTGGATGATAAATTATTAATGCAAAATTTATGTATGGTTACAATGTATTGTGTTGTATATTAAATGACATTAAATTGCAGTGATACTGTTTTGTAACGCAGCAGTTATATTTCCAATGGGATTTCATATTAATGAGATTGGCGGGCAACCATATCAGTTGCCTAATTCACATCAAGTTGGAATTGCTTACATCTTGTTTGTTCTGGCTCTATGGATCACAGTAATTTCCGAGCTTTTTGCAGGCAAAGTTTGTCTACCACATTTTTAGCATTGTTCCATAGCAGAAATACTTGTTAATTATCTTCTATTGACATTTACACTAATATTATTCAGTATCGTTTATATTCATGATACATAATTTTTTTCATCTTACAATAACAATTTTATAAAGCTTTAATGGAGGTTGTATTAAACTCTACTATATTAAGTAGGTTAAAATACTATAAGGATTAATTATAGCAATTAGTATTTAATAAGTTAGTATTTAATAATCTTTTATAAAAGAGCTGTACAGATAAAAGGATTCTTTAAATTATATATATCAATGTCCTTGAAGAATATGTGAATAGTTTAGGAACAGTGTTGGAATTCTACATTTTAGAATCTTTTCTAGTGTTGTATAACAAAATAACATATTAATAAAATCATAATAGTTTTCAAATAAACACAAGGGAAAACTGAAATAAAACTCAATACATATTTGAAATATATATGTATATATGTATATATATTTCTTGATCATAATTAAATTTTAACATATGTACAGTTTTACTTTTTGTTATAAACTTCGAATATTTATTTACAAAACCGGAAATAAATGAGAGGTATTATGTTTAATGCGTAAATTATAATTAGATTCAAAACTTAGAATACATCTTACTTCTTATCTATATTGTACAAACATATAAGCTAGATATAATGAATATGTATGTGCGTGTATATATACATATATATATATATATATACACACATATATACATACATATATATATATATATATATATATATAATAAAATGTTTAATAATTGTACATACAATCTTCCTGTTAAGTCTTTTACAAATCTTGCCAGTCTTCTCAATTATTAAAATGATTTAAATATATTCGATAAAAAAAGAAATCCATATAAAGATTTTGTCAAATGTGTGTGTATGATATTGTTCTACATCATTTGGAAATATATGTATATAATAAATAATATATATGTATGTATATAATATATGCATATATATTTATATTAAATATTTATACATATACACGTAAAACATATTTTTTAATATAAAAATTGTAATATATATTTAAGAATGACTGGCAAAAGGTGAAATTGATTTCCATTGTACAGGAAGATTATATAAAAAAATAAACTACATGTAATATCTATTTCTATACTTTATACACACATTGTCACAAACTTCAAAATCTTTTTCACACTTTTGTTTGTCTTCTTAAAGAAATTGGAAAACCAGTAACATTTACAGTAATCTTATTCAGAAAGAAAAATTATATACACACGTAAGACGCTCTAATATCTCACAAACTGCAACGTATAAAGCATTTAATATATAACGTTTTTTTAGATTCACTAGAAAACGTGAACCCAGATTGGAACACTTGACGAGCCTTAACATTACCTACGTTTATTTCATGATTTTTAAGGGGCGGGAACTATGTATACGTGTAATAACAATCTTAATAGAAGTATTTCATGGAAGTACAGCGGGTTTAATATATTTCTACTTTCCACGCTATTGTAGATAATATAAAAGCTCTCTTTATTTATATAGATTTCTATTTACTTATAAATATCAACAAGAACTTTGAAATTGTAAAAAGAATTTTTTTTTCGTTCCATCTCAAATGGAACGTAGGTTTTTTTCTATACATACATAAGTTTTCTATACAAAATTTTTCAATGTGCTTTCGCACTACTTGATTGATTATTTCCAATCGTGTCACATCTTCGGTAATAGAGTAAATAAGGTACCCTAGGTGAGGTGGGCCTCAGTACGTTATTCTCTGTAACACTCTTCACCGTACTGTCGTCATACCTAACCCAGCAGCCATATCCTACGTGGAAGGCATCGGTGAAGTAATGTCCCTTGGTGGCTTCCTTCCCATCGTGATATGTCACCGCGAATAATTTATATTGTTTTTGTTTGGCTCCTAATTTTTTCGCGGTGTTCGGTGATAAAAATTCTACAAAAATAATTTCCACGTTACGCTTGCCTCATAGAAATTAGAGTAGAGCAAGATGGATTGAAATTATTCAATATACTTACTGCCATCAATTTTCAAGTCGATTGGGAATTCCATGGTCTTTAATATTTTGGAGCAACCATTTGAATATTTATCGAACTTATACACGAACCATTTTAGATGTAATATGAGGATGACTGGCAATTCCTCTAAAGTGACTTGTTTCCAAGCCTCTATTTGTTGTCTCGTCTTACTGCAGGTCAGTCCTTCTACCTGATCTTTACCGACGAGAATTTCAAGAGCGTGTTTTACGGATTCGGCTTTCTGTAATATATTATATTGTATTAGTTATAAAAAATTTCGTATTACAATTTAATTCATTCAAAAGTCTTAGTACTAACTTGAACATCCAACTGCAATGTGAAAAACGGTTGTACATTATCCGTTGGCTGTTCTCCTGCTCTTGACACTCTGGATCGTAATTGTCCGCGGAAAATATCAGATATTGGTGTTCTTTCGAATTCTGTACACCGCGTGACAGCTCCTTTATTTTTTGGTCCCATTACCTATATTAAAATAGGAACAAATAATGTAATGTAAAAAAATATAAATGAATGTAATTTTAATTTAAAAATAGAATAAAACAAATGTTTTTTTATAAATTTTGATTGATATTGTAATAAACTTGAAAGATATTTATATAATATTAATAACTTTTTAAAATATATTGTTAAAATATCTTACCTGCCACTCTTCCTCATCGTGATCGTTGCTGATATTTTTCGCATTACCGATTGCATTTTGATCGTTGTTAATTAATTTGGTCACCTGCAAAAAAATAATTTTTTTTAGTAGCTATCTAAATTAAAAAAATTAATTAAAAAATATTGATTTATATTTTTATAATAATGTGTATATACATACATCCAACATTTCATCATTGATTCCATTTAAAAGACATGATAGGAATTCTTCCGCATCTTCCTGTCGTCCTTCCACAGAAAAAGCCGAAGTGTGTTTTAACATTGTATATACATATGCTGGTTCAAACGCAACACCGCTATATATGTCCATGACAGTATCTTCTCCTCGTTTAACTCTATCTTTCCTGGGCATACGAGCGGCCTCTGTCAAGGGTGTAAACTCACGAACAAACTTGCCCCTTAACAAAATAAAACAATTTTAAATACGAACATCATTTTTATATAAGATCTACAGAAAAATATTATAATAAATATTATATATAATATTTATATATATTTTATATATAATAATAAATATTATATTATATTAAGTATTTTTTTAATATTACTGTAATTACTTACATGTTATCAATCAAAGGCGTAGCAGAATTTCTGCCTCGGTTTTTAGGAAGTGGCAAAGCTGTGAGAAGATTATAGAATGGTGGACAAGCCAGTAAAGCTTGTAAGATACTATTGATGTAACAGTAATTGCTGCGATTTGTTAATCCCCTCGGTAATAAGCTCACTGTTTGCTTGTCCATTTGATAATCCAACAAAAATTCTAAGACACAAATAATATTTATTTAAGAAATTTGTATTCAATGTATATACATATGTAGATCTCAACAATTTATTATTTTAAAAGATTGGATCGCCTTTTGTACTTACCACCTATCCTGTACGTATTAGGATCGTCATAACAATTCTGTAGTATGCCATTTTGTAAAGTTGGTGTGCTAGATGAATTATTCTGATTCTCTGGAGTACGAACAGGACTAGTTGATTCTTTTTGAACCAGGGTTTTTGGTGATTCATTTTGACAAATTGTATGTTCTATGGGTTTGCATGAAGTATGTGTCTCTGATGTATTGTCTTTCTTAAAAAGACTAGCAAAGGATCTGATGATTGGAGCCGCAGGTGGTATTTCAGGTATAGATGATGATGAAGTACTTGGTGTGCTTAAAGAGTCATTTGGCATAGCAGAGGAGTTGTTTGGCGATTTAATAATAGTCTTATCTTGGGAATCTTTCAATGCAATATTTTCCTCAATTTGCGTTTCATTTTTTTCTATCTTTATAGAGATAGGTTTAGGCGAAGTTTTGACGGCATTTGTTGTAATATTGGGTACAGTTTCATTTTTAAACTTTTTATCCGCCTCATTATTTTGGTTTACCTTGACGTCAATGTTAGTATTTATTACAGATGGCACATCAACTTTTTCCGTGCCATTACAATTCTCATTTACAGTCCATACAATATTTTGAAGCTTTGCATCGATCTTTTCATTATTAGTCACATTTTTTTTATCGGCAGTGTTTTCATTTATGTTTTTCACAGGGGACTCTAACGTAGGATTATTTACAATAATGGTATTAGCGACGTTACTTGGCAAGGAATTATCTTCATTTATTTGATGCGTTGATTTATCAGGAGTGCTTTGCACATATTTTTGAAATGGAACAGGTTCTTTCGTGGGTTCTTGATTCGGTTGTTGGGATGGTACAGATTGTCGCACAGATCTATTTATCTGCGGCGCTTGATGATTCGGTTGAGGATAAGTTGGATGTGCATGCGAATTGGATGAAGCTGATTGCGCATTTGGATGTGGATGAGGAATCGTTGAATACATTGGTTGTGTGAAATAGACCTGTCCGGTAGCTACTTGATGTTGTTGTGTAGAGACAGAATGATCAGGATAGATGTACATGATCGGTATCTGATATTGCGTTTGATCGCCGATGTATCCCGACTGGACTTCGTTAGTGGGATTAAGTATTCGATTATAATTATCTCTCCTTATACCTCTGCCCCGACTGTTGCGGCGTCCATTTTCCCTACTGTAATTCATTTCTTGAATCTCAGCGCCAAGATTATATCCAGGATGGGCATATGCTACTCCAGATATAAACGGCGGAATGTGGCCGTTCGCGGAAACATTGTACATTGATGCTTGCCAGTCATTACACATTTGCGTCATCAATTGTTGCGGATAAGTAGGCGCCGGTGGCATAGCTACAAATAAGAGGCAATTTTAACATTAAAAAAATTTTTTGATTTTTCAAAATGCATGAATAAATGCATATATTATATCATCTAAGATATTGACTGGCTATTATATTTATTTATTATATTTAATCTATATTTTAAAAAAATTCGCTTTAAACATATCTTAATATATTTTAAAGGATCATATAAAAACATAGAATAAAATTTTTATATAATAAAATTTATAGAAATGCAAGTATATTCACCATTATACCAATGAT